TGTTCAAGTGTATTTAGCGGATATTATATGTGGATGTTATCTTAAATTGTAATGACTTAACTAGAAACTTATGTAACTTGATTGTGGTAGTTGAACAAATTGATGCTAAGACTTTCATAATTATTTGTAATGTGTATGTATAACTTACATAATTATATGAAGTACGTGGGATAATGGATGTAAACTTGTATTGTGATGTTCCTATCCTTCCTTTGTCAAATAATTTAGAGTTTCCATTTATCCATCCTCCGATTCAAGAATTATTACTCACGTAGAGGAAATGAATTTGTAATTACTCTTTTTTATCGAGGCTTAATTGATAATTCCTCGAGGTAGTGCTTGTGAGTGCATAACTTTTCATCTAAAAAATGAGGCCTAAAACCAACCCCCAAAAACAGACCCAACACCTATCGAAAGGCCCCCAAACTCGGCTCTAAAGCCGTTACCAACGACCCTCAAAAACCGTTACAGAGCAACCCCTTTGCAAAGGCCATTTGAACCACCAAAGAAGCTCTACAAACACCCCCAAACCACCTTCAAAACCACCCAAAAAAAACCCCAAAACCCATAAAAAAGAGGCCTAAAACCAACCCCCAAAACAGACCCAACACCTATCGAAAAGCCCTCAAACTCGACCACAACTGCTACCAACGACTCCCAAAAATAGTTACGGAGCAACCCTTTTGCAAAGGTCATTTGAACCACTAAAGAAGCTCCACAAACACCACCAAACTAGCTTCAAAACCACCCAAAAAAACCCCTAAAACCCATAAAAAATGAGGCCTAAAACCAACACCCAAAACGGACCTAACACCTATCGAAAAGCTCCCAAACTCGACCCGAACCCATTACTAACAGATCCTTGAAAACCGTTACAGAGCAACCCCTTTGCAAAGGCCATTTGAACCACCAAAGAAGCTCTACAAACAACCCCATACCGGATACAAAACCACCAAAAAAACCCACCAAAATAGACACAAAATATCCCTCAAGACATCCCCTCGAACACTTTTTGGAGTTAATGCAAAAGAAAAAAAGAAATAAAAATTATTGGTGATTTGTCTCATTTTTTGTGATTCAATTGACTTTCGATGATTGTTCGTAATGTTACAATATATTCTTTTTTTTTTAATTGCTTAATAGTAAATGTTTATTCTAAAAAAAAGCGGAGAAATGATGAGTAAAAGCAACTAACTTATTATATGCATAGCTAATAATACATGTTATACATATTTAAATTAATTTTATGTTGATAATTAATATAAATTGGCTATTGGATTAATTAATTAATAAACGAGTTATCGGTTATGCTATGGAGACGATCCATTATCTATCTTATCATTTCGGATATATGCTACATGCTAGATTTTTTTTATCATCATTTGTATTATTTTCATGACAAAAATATTCATACAAATTTATTATAAGTATTTAAATATATAAATATAATCACAAGGGTATTATAGTAAATATACAATCATACATTTTCTTTCCTTCCTCTTCCAAACAAAGGAAAAATATTTTCTTTCCTTTCCTTTCCACTCTTATCCAAACAACAAGTGAAAAATAATTTTCTTTCCTCCTTTTCTTTTCTCTCTTTTCTTTCCTCCCAAGAGGAATTATCCAAACAAGGGGTTAGATAATCAATTCATCAGTATTTGTAAGATCATAAGAAGTTTTGTCTATATTTTTTTATTAGTTTCATTTGCAAAGCTACAATATAAACTTCAATCCAAATAGGCATAGTTGAAAAATCCATTTATGTTTAATATGCAGTTGAAATTGTCGTTTCAAATTGCTTTCATCTTCGTAAGAAGCAGTTTAATTAATGAAGCATTTTTTACAAATCCAAAAAAAATATTAATTTAATGTCTTTCCAACCTAAAAAACAAAAATACTTTAGAAAAAAAAATTTAAGTAGCTTAGAAAAATGAAAACAACATATAAAAGCAGGAATGAAAATCACATTAATTGGTGGTTACCACTACATACTCGAGTTTTTCTAAACCACTAGAAATGAAAATCGCATTAATTAGTTTACCAATATCTTATAACGTGACCTGTGGTTTAGTGGTAGCTATCTAACCATTACCCAAAAAAAAAAAAAAAAAAGGATACTGTAGCCTTTTATCTTTGATTTTTGTTGTAATATCAATTCTGTCTTTATCATGGTAATTTTTCTTTTCTTTTCTTTTCTTTTTCCCCCCATCGGGAGGGACTGCTTAGCAAAATGTAGTTTTTTTTATTTATTATTATATAATAACTAAATAAACTAAATTTATTGAGACTCAAATCTATTTTATTGAAAGAAGCTATCAAATATTCAATTGGTAGACCATGCCTGCTTGTGTTTGTAGCATCTATCTATAAATAATAATAATAATAAATAAATACATATCTTATTATTATCAGTGCTATATGGAGTGATTATTTGGTTATTCCATTGCGGATAATTCTTTTGATTTTTAGTTTCCTGAACCTAAATCATACTATTATTCAATTTTTGAAACCAAAAATTTCAATTTTTTTATTACCAAGAATCGAATTTTTTTAATATAAAAAATGACGTTATGATTTTTGGTTCTTCAAACACCATTTTGGTCATGAGCTAAATCTTCCATATATATATATATATATATATATATATATATATATATATATATATATATATATATATATATTTGATATGCTAAAAGACCCATTTTAGTCTTCTTTCAACAATTTGTTTTGAAACAAGTAAGAAATACTATTCTAAAATTCTAATTAATTACAAAATAGAATCAAACATCCAAATCAAATAATATAATCCTCAAATCATAAACATAAACTTTATTTAGCAATCAATACAAAAATTAATAAATAAATAAAGGATTGAACTAATATAGTTACTTAATTTTAGATTATACATAAAATATTTAGGCACACACTTATAGTATTATATTATATACATAAATGCATTAATCAAAAATAAATTTATATATAAATGCTATTTTTTTAGTTAAAAAAATAAAATTTTAAAAGCTGAATTAAATTCAGTTCGATTTTTAAATGCAGATTAAAAAAACCGATAAAAATGATATGTTTTTTTTTTATTTAAATAGAATAGAGCTCACCGCTAGTGTTATACAACAAAAAAAAACTTTAATAGCATTTTTACTCCAGAACTACTAAGGCACTGGCAAATTGAGGTCTGTACTATCAATTTTATTAATTTTATCATTAAATTATCATGTTTTGAACAAATAGTGTCATTTCTTTTGATTTGACCATTGTTATTTACAAAAAATATCATTAAAAAATTATTTTTTAGTATTTTGAGATAACAATTTTCATATATACTAATAAAAATTTAATGTATTTTTTAAAAATAATTTCAATTTTTTTTTGAGACAAGAAAGTATTATTTTTTAATTTTTTTCTTAGATATTAAATATTTAAAAAATTATAAAAAATAGAAAATAATTTGGAATGATCAAAAATATTTTTTGGGGAGCTAATAAAAATATATAGATTTATCTACTTAATTTTAGTATGATTCTCAAACTATTTATTTGGTTGAATGTATAACACCTAAGTGAAGTTTAAAATAGATTAATTTGAGATGCACGTATGCAAATGTTTTGAGAACAATGCTGAAATTATATATGTAGATTCATATGAACTCCTTATGTAGATTCATATGCAAACAATATTTATTAAAAATATGATGATTCAAAGATAAATTTACCAACTTGTTAGTGCAAGTTTCAATGTCTTACAACCTCGATAGTTTAAGGAAACAAATGCATTTAAGCCCAACAAAAAGGAGTAAATTATAAATTAGTTTCTCCAGTTTTATAAAACAAATTAAATAGCTCTTTTCATTTTAAAAAGGAATTACTTAATTCTTAGATTCTTAATTTTTTTAAACTTAATCCTTTTCACTCATTTTCAATTTATTTTGATATTTTATTTTAAAAAATAATAAAAAAATAAGTAAAAAATATGAAAGAATTAATGAAAAAGGATGACATTTTTATGAAATAAAATTATATTAAATTAAGAGTGATGATACTCGTTAAAAATTAAATAATTAATTTTTAAAATAAAAAACTAATTAATTCAAGAACTAATTTTTAATTTACTCAAAAAATACCAATGAATTATTCTATTTATTGCAGAGTAGGCATGCTTTTAAAAAATGGGAAAAAAAATAGAAGAATAAAATAAAGTAAACATGCTTGCATGATCATGTGGATCGGATCTCCATCTTTTATCACAAATCGAGAATAAAGCAAATTGTCTCCCAAGAATCTCTCGCCCATGATTCCATGGCACAAAAATCGAGACAACAAAACAATAAAAAATAAAAATCAAGAGATAATCCTACGATCAGCAACATCAATCTCACAAAACTAACTAACTCTTGACCACACACAAACCTAAGACCTCATTTCCATCTTCTCTTTCTTGCCACTCTCATCTCAAGTCCTATCTATCCACCTATGCATTGCTGTATATACTCGATCCGACCCATCCCTCTTATCCCTCTCTTTCACTCCCTCTCTTTTATCTCTCCCTAAAAATCTAAGCTTTGATCTCCTATCTCTCTCTCTCTTCTTCTCTCTCTATCCATTCTTCCTCCTCGAATCACTCCTCCTTGTGGGGGACCTTTGTGGCAGCTCAGGTCCTTCCTTTTCTCCTTTTCTCTTCCTCCTGAAATATTTTTCTTTTTTTAGAATTCTATCAAGTAATGCTAAATTATCATGTCTGATGTTTTTGTTAGTGACCCGGTTATTTCTTTGGCCTAAAGTCTTAACCTTTATAATAATATGATGTTTTTTTTGGTGAGCCAGATGGTGTTTTGGCCTAAATTTTGAAGCTTTGTAGCTTTTCTTTTGGTTTCTTGTGAAGTTCCCAGATCTTGATTTTGTTTATTGTTTTTATGTGTGCAGAGGCTTGCTTTGGTGATTTGTTGATAAGTGAAAATGAATTATTGTGGATATGAGCATAAGAGCGCCATGGTAGGAGGTTGTGAGGAGAGGGAGAGGAGGATGATGGTGGTGGAGTCTGTGGTCTGCCCAAAGCCAAGGAGATTGGGGCTTTTAAATCCTGCTCTTAATGAACAAATCAGACCTTTAAGATTGCCTGTCAAGTATGTTTTCCCTCTTCGATCCCATAAATTGTACCTTTTTCTTAGGAGTGTTTATTTATTTTCTTTTACTGTGAAAAATTTTCGTCTTATTTTGTTTTGTATTCTTCTTTCTAGTAATCATGCGGAGATGACAGATTCAAAAGCTGGGGCAGAGCTTCTTGACATATTTCTTACTAAGGTACATCTCTTTCTCGTTCTGCAATTTTAGTGGCTAATTTTCTTGTAAAGTTTCATCTATGACCTTTTGTTTGTTTTGTTTGGTAGCTAAACAGAAAAGGTTGGCAGTAAATAGGGTCAACCTTGTATAGATCCACCTCTCTAAATATTTAAACTAACTTCCAAGAATTTTATGTTCTTCACTGCTGTTTTTGGAGATAATTATTGGCTACAAATTTCTAAAGTTATTATTTTTTAATTACCATCTTTTTTTTTTTTTTTTTAGTTGAGGTTAGTGTGTGCTTGTACTCAAAAGTATCGAAGATCTTTGCATATGTTATTTTGGCTAATCTTAAATCAAATCTCTCATATGTCGACATTGTGAAAAGCTTCTTGTCCGAGTTTTCTTTTGCTCATGGGTTAGATTTGTGAGCTTTCTTGCTGGTTATACTTTCTTGAAGCAAATAATAAAGTGCACATAATTTCCTTTACCAATTAACGAAGCAGTTGAATTTGTTGGACTCCTGTACTGGTCTGAGCCAAAATTAAAGGAATTCATGTAGCTCTTGGATTATTACGGATAGAAGGAAACTTATTGATCTAAATTATTGCAGGGAGGTTATGGTGGGGACAAACTCAGTTACCACTCATCATCACCACCATTTTACTGTGGATCACCACCAAGTAGGGCATCAAACCCTGTAATCCAAGATGCTCAATTTGGTAATGAAAAAATAAGCCCATTATCTCCTGCACCACCATCCCCATCCCCATCATCGGCGCGTAAAGGAGGAGGTTGCGTCCGAATGAAATTCGGGCACACGCCAGCTGCAGTGAGGATTGAAGGGTTTGATTGTCTCCGCAGAGATCGGCGAAATTGCAGCATCTCTGCTGTGGCTTAAACGTGAAAAGATGAAATCTTCAATTGAAAAAACTGCAGCAAATTTTTGATTGTACGAGAGGGAGATAAAAGGGGAGAGCTAATGGTAGTGTTCTAGTACTGCTGTTCTCTTTTTTTCTTTCTTGGTTCAGTGTATATACAAGGTCAATGGGTGTTTCATGTCGAGGTTGTCAGTGTTCACTCTCATAATATGTACATTGTAATGAAGATGATGAGAGAAAAATGTTTAATTTTTAGAGGAATAAAAGAGGGAGATGCAACTGTTTCTCTCTGTTGTTTTTTTGTTCATAAAGAGGGGAGAGTCGTTTGTAAGGTTTGCATTGTAATATCCATCTGTTTGTCACTCTAATCTAATTCTCGTTTTCTAATTGCATCACTGAGTAAATGAGGATTGATCTTTACGTTTTCTATAAAATTATTTCGTTTGAAGACACGCTGTATAAAGTAGATGGTCGATGATTCCATGTGGTCTACTCTAATATTTTAAAGTAATTTTTGTTTCACATGTTTTGTCATGTTTGTGGTGGCGATGTTATCCTCCAAATCAAACCATGCAATGTCCGAAGAATTAAAAAGAGAAAAACAAAAAGAAATGCCAGAAGAAACACAAAGACAGAATGGGACCTGATCTATGGCAAAAGAAGAGCAAACACAGTATAGGGACCCGATTGCTGAAGGACGCTGGGGCTACATGGAGATTGTGTGTCGGGATTTGATTGGTTTTTGTGTTAATTGAAAGGTTGGGTTCCTAAGAGAAGAGGGCTGCAAAAGTGACCGGTTCAGGTACTACTAGTTCTACTAGCTAATTGATTGATGATGGCTCTTTTTCTGTTTCTTCAAGGCGAACAAAACAGAGGTTATAGGTGATGGATGGGTTGGCATTGGTTTGGTTAGTGGTTGAGAGGTCAGATGCTGATTAGGGCAGGGAGGAGGTTGGTTGTGACCTTTCCTTTCAGTGGGCCTTACTGTCACGGTGACAGCACCAGTGGCTGCTGCCAGCTTAGCTCTTTGGCTGTGCACGCAGTGATTGGTTAGCCTGCTTTAATTTCTCTTTGCGCCATTGCATAACCTTTTGACTGGTTGGAGGGAAATATTTCTTCATTATATATATTTGTTTTGGGGTAATGTGCAGTCCCATCTATGTAAAGCACAGGCTTGAGGAACATAGCTGAGTACTTACTAGATTTTTTATACACTTCACGCACCAAACAAAATATATAAAATTATTTTATTTTAATATATTATATTATATTATATATTTATTAAAATTTATATTTTACTGATTGTTTTTTATAAAAAAAATTATTCAATTATATAAAGAATGTCAAAACCAATAAATTCTTAACTGAATTTTTTTTTTAATTTTTGATTAAAAAAATAAAAAAAAGGCCAAAGTGATAAAAAAAAAATCAAAACTAAACACAAAAATATTTTACGAATTGAAAAAATCATATTTAAAAAAAAAGAAAATATTTCTTCATTATATATATGTTTTTAAGGTAATGTACAGTCCCATCTATGTAAAGCACAGGCTTGAGGAAAATAGCTATGAGTACTTATTTTCTCGTAACAAAAATAATGTAATGTCATGAACTTTTATCGTATTAAAAGCGTTTCTGTATGAATAACCATTTCGATGCAAAATTTAATCATATATATTCTTTGATATGATAAGGAGTAATTTAATCAATTAAGTGAGATTTTCTTAAAAGGCAGTTTAAGAGATATCTGCCTTAAAAGGTACTCATGGATGTATCTTTTGATGATACTCTTATTATAAAGCAAAAGAGAAATTGGAAACTTGAATTTGAATGGTGAGATAAAATATGTGATGAGATTAGGTACATTGTAAACTTTATCTTTAGATTTAGTGCAAAAAATTGCTGGCAGCAAAGAATGAATTTTGGTCATAAGAGAAGGGAAGATGTTCAAAAAACAAAAGAGAAAGGAAGACGAAAAGCATACTAAAAAAGACTTGAGTTTCTTGTTTTGGTTGCTATCAAATAGGATTTAAATGGAAGGGGAGGTTGTGAATATCTACTCTCTCTCTCTCTCTCTCCATCTTTTCAATCTTTTTATTTATATCTATTCTAAAATAATGATCTAGTTAAAATTTTAAATGATATATTTTCTTAAAATACCTCTAATGAATTAAAAAAAAATCGATTCTTTCTTTCATTTTCTATTCTTCACAAATACACACACACAAATACCTTAAATACAAAGAGAATTTTTTTTTATATGAATAATATTCATTCTTGCTAGGATTTTACTACATATCAAAATTTATGAAGTAAAATATTTTTATTAGTATGTTATTTTTTAATAATTATTTTAAACTTATTCGTTAATTAACTTAATGATTTTTTTATTTACCATCTTAATTTTGGATAGATTTTGTTTCTTAAACTAATATTGATTTCATATAATACATAATTAAATTTGATAACTAAAATTTCAACATAAAAAGCATTTTAGAAAAATATAAAATATAATACTTATATGATATGATAATTAATGATTTTTTTACACTATGTGAAAAGTCAAATAAAACAATCGCTTTGGGATGGAAAAAGTAAATTTTATATAAGCTTAGTTTGAATATGGATGGAGATCCGACTGTAGGGGTTAGTCTTGGTGTGGGAATGTCCCGATCATTAAAACAAAATAATCAACAAAATATTAGAATGATTTTTTTTTTTTTTTGGGAGGCTTAGCAGCTCATTAAATAGATATCTCTTGTGGTCTTCCTTCCCCAAAACCCTCTCTCTTAAGTCAAGAAAGTGCCTCTTTTTATTGATTTTAAGTTCAAATGTTGGAACCAATATTTAAAGAATTTTTTTAAAATATAATTTTATTTTTATTGACACGTAAATTGAACTGAAAATACCTTAACCTCTTATATATATATATATATATATATATATATTCACACACATGAGAGTCAAAAGTAATTATTCATAAGATATGTCAAAGAGTAAACGGACTCTTTGTGGAATAATTAAGTTATTTATTAACAAAAATAATTCTATTTAAAATTCTGTTTAATAAAAAATTATTCGAAACAATTTCTTTACAAGAATGAAGTAATTTTTTTGATAAATAATTTAGTTAATTTAACTAAAACATTATTTCTAAACAAAAATTGAAAATCAACACAAATTATGCCAAATGGATTTTAGTATCCATTAAATGACTTACTCAACTGTGCTAATTTTGTCGTATAAAATGCCTCATTCTATAAAACGAGAGGTACTTCAATTTTTTACAATTTTTTTTTTTTTTACTAAGTAACGTGATATTTGTTACATGGAAAGATTTTCAAATGAAGGAATGTGAATCTTATTCTATTTAGTGATAATGACAATTATAGAATATATTAACTAATAAATCACTAATAATTTATTTTCATATCATTCAGTAAAATAATTTTAGTAAAAAATTAAATATATTTAGCATTATCTTTTATAAAATTTGGAATTTTCATTGGAAGTTTTGTTACAAAACAAAGAGGTATTTCAAAAGTCGAAACAATTTTAATAATTTCGGGCAAAAATGTCTACGAAAAAGGTTGCTCGTATGGGATTGCCGCAGGGTGATATGAGACCAATAGGGCAGATAAAAGAAATTTTATATTACCTTAATACTTATTCTACAAGAGAGATAAACATAAAAAAAAAAAAAATTATAGCATGGGTGAAACTACTCTTATTATTTTTAATGAGTCCGGATGTAATTTTTTTTTAATGTCTATCTTTTTTCTTAAAAATACTGACCAAAAGTGCTACCTTTTATTTTAGATTGACAACTCCAGATGAAAAATACTTCAATAGTCTAGGAGTACATATGGCTTGATTTAAAGGGTTAATATCCTCATTTGTCCTTATATAATAATTCAATTTTTTAGTTTATTTCTAAAAAAAGGCTTATAATCTATCTTTATATTTTAAACTGGCTCTTTACTTATCCTTTTTAATTAAAATTTTTGACCAAATTAAGATAAATTAAGCATTTAATTTGTACATGATATGTGATTCGATAAAATTATCTTTATTATTTGACATAATTGATTTATATATATTAATATGAAGATTAATTTTTGAAAATTGGCTTGAAAATTTGACCATAAAGATAAATTAGAAACCAACTCAAAATATAAAAATAGATTAAAAATATTTTTTTAGAGACGGATTGAAAAATTGGCCTATTTTATAAGGACATGTGAGGATATTAACATTAATTTAAATGGATATAACAATGAATGGAGAGTACGATGCTATTTTCTACTTTAAACTCATTTAATATAATCATTGTTTATAAAGAAAAAAATTGAATCATGAGTTTTATTATAAATTTACTATTCATTGACAAACAAAACACTATTTGTCGTTATCCGACGCTCGGACAGGACTCCCAAAAATTATATTTCTAAATGTGATTAATATTTACAAGTTTATTTACGAGTTTGAAGTCGCCACATAGTATTTAACGAACTAGGAACCTAAAACGGACAATCGGTTCGGAGATTCTATGGTAAGGAGTTGGTTACGCTTTTGGAAAGATATCGATCACCCAAAGCGCCCTTTTCAAAAAAAGGTACCATGTCTAATTTAGCTCTAAATTTATCTCCTAAAATATTTTATTTACGTCAAATTATTTTCTGAATTTTAATCTCTCATTTTTTGTTTAGACAAATTGAATTTTTTAGTTTTAAGCGTGACATCATATTGAAACGATCGTCGATCCCTTTCATTGGGTGACATGTCGGTTCAAACATCGGATCCACTTAAAGCCTTAACACAACCGGCGTGTCGGAGGACGTCTTAATTAAAAAGGTGATTTTTGATAACGTCGGTCCCTCTCACGTAGGAGACTTCGTCGAAAATCTTGAATATTCTTTTTGGGTGATGTCGGTCCCTATTAGATAAGAGACTTCATCGAATTTATTTATTTATTATATATTTTATTTTATGGTGTCAGTCCCTACCAAGTAGGAGGCTT